TAAAAATATAAAAGAAATATGTCACGTGATTTATTAATGCTAGTAAAAATATAATCAAGTCATTCGTATATTAAAACACATTCAATGACTATCAAAATGTATGAAATGAACTTACCAAGTAGTATTCTCTGAGCCCTCGATAACAGGACGTAATTTTAAACAACAAAGAAATACAAATTTATTGAATTATGCCCAAATTATACTAATCACTAAGAAAAATATGTCGCTTTTGTGTGTGTGTGTGTGTGTGTGTGTGTGTGTGTGTGTGTGTGTGGAGGGGGGGGTGCGTGCGTGCGCACGCGTGTGTGAATGAGTGGAATATATGCGCGCGCGCGCACACACACACACACACACACACACACACACACACACACACAAATACACTTATATCTATAAATTTAAAAGTGAAGAACCGTATAAAAAAAACGTGTGTTTGCACATTATGCACTTTTATTATTTATATATATATATGATAGTAATAAAGAAACTTATGCACAAAATTCATAAAAAAATATGAAATATTGTTTGACTCGTGAATATTGAATATATATACATAAATATATGTAGAATCAATAATAGGTTTAAATCAATAATAGGTTTAGTGTGTATAGTACTTGTTTATATAATAAGTAATATATAAAATATGAATTAAAAAGAATATCATTAAGAGAAGTCACATCAAGTAAACAAAATTGGTATCATATACTCTTAACTCACCACCATAACTGTAATATACATTTTTTAAATAAACATTTATATGTATATGCGTAATGCAAAATAGTATTTTCAAAAAATAAATAGATCTCTTTTTCTCAACAATTAAATTCAACTTCTCGGTATTTGTATATATAGTTTTTTTTAAATTCTCAATTAAAGGAATCAAGAACAATCATATATAATCATTTACATATGCATATATACATACATACATACATACATACATACATACATACATACATACATACATACATACATACATACATACATACATACATACATACATACATACACTCAATCAGTACACTCTTTCTTAATGTGAAAGATTTTTTTTTTTCAAGAATAGGACGAATTACAATTCTAATTGTCAAAGTTTTCTAACAAGTTCAAGATTTCTTTAGTATAAGAATGTAATAATAATAATTATTTTATTATTCTCTTTATCCACTATAAATGAATTTTATAATTCAAAAATGCGTCATTGATAATAAACGTTAAATGTCCTCATTATCACTTAATGAGCTCATGATAAAACGACGATTCAAAAGATCTTCCTCTGTACTATCGCTCGGGCATAATGAATTTTCCGTATACGATAAATTGTTAGTTAGTGGTCCGGAACCGAATCTATTGACCACGAGACCAATTGCGGTTTGTCCGATAATCGGTATGCCACCCGTGCCTAATATACGCGCCGGCAGAATGTTCTTCGTTATTGGATATTTTAAGCTGTGTTCGGTACATCTCAGATTGTTATATTTAAGCATATGAGGGGATTGCGAAAGCCGTAATGGATCTTCGGAATAGCACTGGGGAAACTTTTGCAGATCGGTATAACCATTCTTCTCACTTATCTTATAACGTAAAGGATCTTCGGAATATCGTTGAGGATACTTTTGAAGATCAATACCATATTTCTGTTCCCCTATGCACTGGTCGTATATAAGATTATTATCCGAGCATCTATGATATTCCTCTCTACACCTATGAGGATATTTGTGCAAACCATCCTCGCATCTACATGGATATTTTTGAAAGTCTGGATTTAACCGGTCTACTTCGGTATATTTAATATGTTTCACAGAATCCTGAGAACAATGTTGCACCGGGTATGGCGGCACGTAAGTATCGTTTATGTATTGGCGCGGATATTTTGGTAAATCCTCGGGACAACGTGTAGGATGTCTCAAGAGGGTCAACTCACCGTTTATTGACTCTATTCTTGGAGAATGTTGACCACTGATCAAATTATTCATCGAGCCCGTAAGATCCGTACTGGGACTCGTTTGAACCGTCGTACCATTTGACTGTCAAAATGAATAATAAAAATAACAATGTAAAGTGTATACATTATTGTACATTTCTTACTATATTTAACTGTTATCAAAGATTAGTAAACACATTATACATAATTACCTGAGGCTGCACAATTTTGGCAGTACCATATGTTTTATTATTAGTAATTACATTATCTTCACCAACTCGTTCATGTTCTGCGCGGTATTCAGGTGTGACTATCCCTCTTCGATCTGAAACGATGGTCAGAAAATGAATTCTCACACAATTAATAGATGACGACATAACTATATCCTTCGATTCTATGATTTGCACATTTGCATAGATGAATATTATGACAGCTTGTACGAGAAAGATATTACCGATTAAACTAGGTGGGGCCGGTCCACATAACACATAAAAAAAATTTCCACAAATGTTTCCTTGACTGTAAGGATTAAAATTATCCTGCCCTCTTCTATTCGTGAACGACCCTTTAATCTAAAAAGCAGCAACAATTGAAAAAAACTTGACATAATTTATACATGATTTTGTGTGTGTGTGTGTGTGTGTGTGTGTGTGTGTGTGTGTGTGTGTGTGTGTGTGTGTCAAACGTACTTACATCTTCGTTAGTCGTTTGATTGCTGCTAGTTAAATACGTATGAAAACCAGCGAGGCCTAAGATACTCCAAACAGAGAAGAAACATACAACTCCTACAATTACACTGCTCGGGGATAATTTTACAGCTTCTAAAAACGGCTTGTTATCTTTTGTAACTAAAATCACAATAAATATATACGAAATGTTAATTTCGTCATAATTGCGCGTTTAATTTATTTATTATTTAGAAATTAATATACTTACGCATAATAATATGTGTGACTGCACATACAAATATAAAAACACAAAGAAATGCGAGGGATACTATAAAAGCATAAAAATATCTATAATTTCTTCTGCCCACGCAATTACCAACCCATGGACAGTGATGATCGAATCTCTCTGAAAGAATAGTTATATTTTTCAAATTTCTCTTGCTTAATATTTGTGATTAAAGTAATATCTTATTCGAAATTATCTGACGAAGATATCTGACAATACGAAAGAAAAAGAAAACAAGTATATACAACTTTGATAAAACAGATACATACCTACACAATTGTCACATAAACTACAATGAGAGGCTCTAGGTGGCCTAAATATCTTGCATGTAAAGCAATATTTCAGTTTTACTGGTTGTCCTCTAATCAAGACTTCTTTCGTCCTGGGAGGAGGTCTGTATGTTTTAGAGTTGCCATTGTTCGGTACTTCTAGAATTTATTATGAAAAATGTTTTGAGACTCAGCATTTTTCGAATATTATAATAAATATTTATTTATTATGTCCAAATGAAAATATTATTAGTCTTTTAAAATAAATAAATTAAACCATATAATTACTATAAGTATTCTAGTTATATAATATTTATACCAATTTGTTTTTCAATGTAAGCTGCTTCATCAGGTGTCGCTCTTGGAATTACTCCAGGATCACTGAAGCTTGTGCGGAATAAAGCAGACATTACAAATATAAATAATAAAGCTCCTATTACTGGTATTGCTGGTGTAACATGTAGTGCCAGATATGGACAACTGGAAAAAAAAGAAAACTATTGTCCAGAAATTCCATTTGGTGTGTATGTGTGTGTGTGTGTGTGTGTGTGTGTGTGTGTGTGTGTGTGTGTTAATTTTTTTACTGATTGATTAAGAACAGCATTTATGTCCAATCTTCATCTTGTATATCAAGATGCTTATTGTTTCATTTGGATGCAGTTTTAACATGAAATGTACAATCTTAAATATAAGATTAAACTATGAATACCATCTTAATTGCATCCAATGTATCTTTGATTAGAAGAATATACAAGTTACTTATATTCCTAATTCTACTTTTAGAGATTTATTCTTAATATTACATATAATATAATATTACATATAATATAATATGACATATAATATAATATTACATATAATGTTACATATAATATAACGCAATGATAATACTTATTCAGAAGCTCAGAGAACAATCCAGACGAGGCAGTGTGCTAATAGATTAAGGATGGTATTTGTAATCCAATCTTGTATATTTAAAATCATCTCGATCTTGCGATGCAATATATAATTGCTTTAATAGCTGGAATTTTAAAAATCTTAAAACCATCCAAGAACCAACATCAGATCTAAGGTCAGTATTCATAGTCGATTCTTATATTCAAAACTATTTTAAGTACAATCTTAAGATATCACAAATGAATTTGAAGGCTGCATCAGCATCTTAAGACATTATTTAAGACAAACTACATATATCCTAGCCCTAAATGATTTAGAATATAAGATCAGATGATGGTATAATTTTCAACATGATACAAGTCTGAACAAAATAAGAATTGAAACCAATTTTTGTTAAAATTTGGTTAGATATTTCCTTTGTTTTGATACTTTTACATCCTTCATACAATGAGAATAAGGTTACTAACTTGAACTTGGAATTTGAATTCGAATCTTATTTCGTTCAGAATTGTATTATACAAGATCTTATCTTATCATTCTAATCTAACAAAATATCCAATGTACTTTTCCATAAAAGATATATAAATTGTGTACAGCTCTAAATGTCTAAACTCTACTTAGGTTTAGTTTTATCCTTGATGACAAATGTAATCAAATGACCTATGAATTAAACAAATAACAATTCATTTGTTCTGATGATGATGATACAATGTGTTAATAGATTAAAGATAGTATTCTTTAATTTTGTACTGAAGATTGAGATGCATTTGTTTTATCGATATAAATGGAATCTCAAGATTATACTGTAGAATTGGATGTATCTTAAATAATGTATCTTAAATAAATCAGAATACAATGAATATCAATCTGATTTGAGAAAAAATCCAATTGTTATATATTAAGATGAATAGCCTTGGAGGTAAATGTAATAAAATGCATTGCTTACTCAAAACCAAAAAACAATCCACTTGTTCCGACGATGAGACACACAGTGACATAGAATACTCCAGTCTGTGGTGCCATCATTACTCTGCCGTCGCAACAAAAGCGATTCCTGCCCGGGAATAGTTCCCATTTTCGCGTGACGTGAGGCATTTTGAGTGAAACTCGTCTCACATACTGCTATATAAGAACGCATGGATCCCGGCAACAGGCTGCTGGAGATTAATCACAAACGTATGATTCCTTGGGCCACGTTCCCACTCGAGAATTCGGACAGGCATATTTCATCTCGTCCGCATTGTCTGGTGAAAAAGTGGAAGCTGCATGTACCGACGGCATCCATGTATTAATCATCAATTCGTCGTAACGTAATCGCCTGTTTGTGGAGCTTCACCTCGTGCTCCACTTGCAATCGGATCGTCCAACACAACTTAACCTTTCCTGAGATTAACTATTTTTTTCAAGTCGACGATAACTTGGCGGATAAATTAGCACTACGAGATGAGTTCTATTCTCTGCAAGATTGTCATGAATCTCTAGCTATCCATGTAACATCAACATCGTCGTCGTCATTATCATCATCGTCATCATCGTCGTCCACGTCGTTATCGTCGTCGTCGTCGTCGTCGTCGTCGTCGTCGTCGTCGTCGTCGTCGTCGTCGTCGTCGTCGTCGTCGTCGTCGTCGTCGTTCGTCTCGATGATCGCCAACAAAACAAAGGGTCGCGGTGAAAGGGTCGCGTCGAAGACAGTCGAAGGAAATGGGTCAGCGAGGCCACTCCAGGCCACTCACGGGGCCTCGTACGCGAGCACTCTCGGCACGCTACGGTTCTCTGTAGTCTTGAGGACTGTCGCGGCCACCCTCAAAGTCTCAAACCATTAACGTCCTCGTCGGCATCGTTGCGATCGCGCGATGAGCGTCCAGCCGTCGACAACAACGCGCATTATTTACACGGTCAAGTACACCACAACGACCACAACTGCCTACAACGTGCTTTCCATAGTCCATTTACTCTCCGCTCGCACGATTCAGCATTCAGCGCGATTTCTCGCAAAACGCGCGCAGCGACCTCGCGCGACCTCGCGCGAAAGCGCCACGTGACTCGGCGCCACGTGACCCGAGGATGACCCGAGCGATCGCGATTCAAACGTTCGGTTCGCCCTTTTCGCGCGGGTCGATCATCGATCATTGGAATTTCTGTCGAGGAGAAGTCGTCCCTTCCGTTGCGCCGGTTAGCGGGACGCCTCGAGGATCCCCGTTGATCCCCGTCAAGCGGGAATTAAAAACTTGCGCGACACAGAGAAGCGAATCCCCATCTCAGCGATCCGACTCACAGGGACCTTTGACGCGAAACGACGCGGACGCGGGCGTGATCTAACCGCCGCTTCTCCGCGGCAATGACAGGTAAAAAAAGACGAAAAAAAAGAGGAAAAGAAAAAATACAAAAAAGAAGGTGCTCGTCGATCATCGCACACGAGATTGATTATTTAATGGTAAAGGAGGGTAGCGAACGCGCGCGACTTATTATCGCCCCCGTTGCAAAATGGGTCGTCGTCGTCGTCGACGCAATGCGGCACGTCGCCGCACGCGCGCACGCAACATACACAACGTACATATACTCGGTGCATTGCGTGTGTGTGAGTGACCAAGGAAATCCTGAAAATATATCGAACAATCCCGCCATCTTCGCGCACGCGGGCGATGTTCTCGATTGTGAAATTTTTGCGAATCAAACGCGACAAAGCCCGCGAAGTGATCCATATAGATCCGTGATGACAATATCAATGAGCAATATCGATGACACGGGAAATATGTAGAGATTTCATCACATATATGTATATATATATAGATATATATAGATAAGAGTCAAGAGGTATTATTACACGTCTGTGCTATCTACTCATTACCGTATATCGATATAAAAAAAACATCTCTTATACAGCATTAGCTCCGTAATGGATGCTGGGATCTATATAGCTTATTGTACCACATGCATTGTGTTGGACTACAGAAACGCGCATCTTTCGATTACACGAGTACGTTAAAATCAACATTGCGTGTAATTTACACAGTTCTCGCAGTTTAATTTTTATTTTTTACGATTTACATCGATCGTAAAAGTATATCTATTATAATTTAAAAAATCATGAGATTACATAAACCGCTGAAAATCTCAAATACCGAGAATTTTATTCAAATTTACATCTCTGGAAACGTTTATATTGTGAAGAAAGCCAGCCCCCCCCCCCCTCCTATGGAAGGAATAGAGGAGAATCCGGTCGGGGTAGATCATCGAACGGCAGGTAATCGATAGCCTGCAACAAATCGGAATGACGTATACACACTTGGGATATATTACATACATATGCGTCTGTAAGAAATGAAAAAAAGCTCTAGCGTGTGAAAACTATGCAGAATAATCAACAGGCTAATTATATGAAGAAGAATCGGCGGATATGATGATCGCGCGTCGCTTTGACGAGCTTCCCTCTCGAGTCGTATCTACGATCGAAGATACAGCCGAAACGGTTGCGGCAGCGGCGGCGGAGGCGGTGGCAGTGGCAGCGATGGCGATGGCGATGGCGATGGCAAGGGTCGTCTCGACAAGGGGATAGGGGTCGTCGATGTCTGGTGTGAGAGGAAAGTGCGGTAGGAAGGGCGAATAGAGCAGAGGGAGCATGAGGGAGAGACGGAAGGGAGATCGTTGGGAGGGTGTATGAATCGTTGTTGTGGAGAGAACGGGCGGATGGACGGACGGACGCAAACGCGGACGAAATCAGCTCGGGCGATCGATACGATAAATGGATGCGTGCGATTGGTAGCCGGGAAAATCGATGACGGACACAGGGGGGCATACCCTACCTCTACCTCTACCCTCTACCCTCTACCTCTCTAGCCAGCCGCGGCGACGGGCGAAAGCCGGCGTGCCGCGCCGCGCCTCGCCGCACGCCGCGCGGAGGAGTAGAGGATGGCAAAGACCGAAATATCGATTTTTAGGCCCCTACGCGGCGGTTCGTTCGATGCTCGTATCTGCCCCCTACCCCCGTATGTCCTGTCCGCGCCAAGCGCCTTTCAAAACACCGACGACGCGCGCGAGCTACACCGCGCTCGTTCACGCAGCCTCGACGTTGCCGTCAACCGTTGTCCTCTCCTCCTTGTTGCCCTTCTTGTAATTCGGATTTATCGTCGCGTAAAATTGCGCGATTCCAGTTGGACTGGAGTTACGAGTGGATCATTACCGGTGCGCCGATGTTCTCAGGTAAATCGCGGCAGCGGCGAAGATGACGTCTGATCGGAGAGAGAAAGAGAGAGAGAGAGAAAGAGAGAAAGAGAAAGAGTGGGAGAGGGAGAGAGAGAGAGAGAGAGAGAAGAAGGGAAGGAGGGAAAGAGTGAGGGTGCTCGACGCGATGTGCATTCTCTTCCCCGTGGATGATTTACGAGCCATACGAGCGCTCGTCAATGCGATCATAATTAACGCGCGGTGTCATCTGCAAGTGTTCTCGCGGTGTGATTGAATATTCGAGGTAAAAGAGGTATACGCGCGCAAAATCGGCAGCAATCGGCGGGAATTTAAGGAAGGCAGAGATATTATTGAATAAACACACGCGAGTAAATTTGCGGCAAAGAACAGTGGAAGTCTAGGTGGGAATATGATTAATATAGCTGAGAATTGCAAGGAAACGGCGAGAGTGATACTTTGACGCGGGCAAGTTGTCATTTATCGGCCTGCATTGATCTGTATACGGGCGGCGACAGCGGACGAACGGATTGGATTAAACGTGACCAAGGAAACACTTGACACCTCGCGTGCAGGTGATCGTCTCTAACGATCCCGCGTCGAGCTCCAGGATAATATCGTATGTCGTAAATACTCGATTGATTTACAAGGACAAATCGCTTTGGGGACTTTCGATCGTCTTGTAATTCTTTTCGGATCGGAGCAACGCGGATGATTGATACGATTGCACTTGTACAATAATAAAGGATCAAGTGGAATGAATGAAGATTCAAGAAGATCCATTCGCTGGATCGCGAGATCGTGACTTCATGGCGAGGCAAGGGGCGACGCGACGTGTAGCTTCTTCCGAATCTTTCCCGGCCGCCTTTGCAGACTATCCGCAATAGCTAAAATCACTAATCGCTAGATCGATAGCGATTACGGATAAAAATGCGACACCGATGGAGAGAAATCGGTGCTATGATATCCCTCCGAACTATACAATTTGATCGGTTTATTATTATATATATTGCTTTATATATATTACGACGAGATCACGCTACGCAATGCGGGCTCGTTGTAAATTCTACGGATGCAATTGTTTCTTTTCTTAAATTAAATGCATCGCGATCATACGTAGACTACACAATATATATATATATATA